ATGATTTTTTGGGAATTGGGAACCCAGTCTCCATTCCCCAGCGACGGGATGATTTACTGGGAATTGGGAGCCCAGTCTCCACTCCCCAGCGGCAGTACGATTTATTGGGAATTGGGAGCCCAGTCTCCATTCCCCAGCGGCAGAGTGTCCTACTGGGAATAGAGAGCCCAGTCTCCTTTCCCCAGCAGCAGGACTCTGTATTGGGAGCGGAGACAGTCGGTCTCCCTCCCCCGCGGCTGGAAGTATATATGGGAGAGGAGATTGTTACCCCCTCTCCCCAGCGGCAGCTTAATGTACCAGGGGGAGACAGAAAGCCCCACAACTGTGCAGATAGGACCGTGGTCTCTGCAAGTACAGCACTGGGGGTAAGGACGGTCGGTTCTGCCCCCCCGCGTCAGGGCTGTTTAGCCAAAGGGGAGACAGTCGGTCTCCCCCTCCGGCAGCCCAGCAGTGTATCTAAAGGGGAGACAGTCGGTCTCCAGCAGCCCATTGGAGTGGTCTGGGTGCCAACTCCCAATACCCTTAACCCTGCAAGTGTAATTATTGCAGTTTTCATAAACTGCAATATTTACCTCGAAGGCTTAAGTTCTCCTCTAGTGGCTGTCTATCAGACAGCCACTAGAGGGACTTCCGTGTTCTTAGAACACGAAAAGTGTTTTAAGCGACGCTGGACGTCTTCACACTATGTGAGGACCTCCAGCGTTGCTGAAATCCCCATAGTTAAGCATTGAATAATGCTTTCTTATGGGGAGGTCTAATGCGCGTGCACGGCCATTGCCGCACATGCGCATTAGGTCTCTCCCGTCGGCTGAGGGACATTGGCGCTGGACTCCGGTAAGTCACTGAAAGGGTTTTAACCCCTTCAGCAACTTGAAATGGGGGGAGGGAGGGAGAGGGGCACTCCATTGTCCTGCAGTGCCAGGAAAACAAATATGTTTTCCTGGCACTGGAGAATCCCTTTAATTGACACCAAGCGGTGTTTTCCCTATGGAGAGGCATTAGATTGGCTCAGACCATCTACACTAGTCAGGACACTAGCGTTAGGAAGTGGTCTGGGTGCCTATAGTATCACTTTAACTCCATGAAACTATAGTGGATGTCATCAGCAGCTTAGCAGGATGTCCAACATCTTCAAAATCCTTGTAGGAAAGCATCGAGTTAATTCTTTCCTATGGGGAAGGTCTAATGTGGGCACTGGAATTAAGGTTAGTGATAAAAAGTGTTGTTTTTTTTAACTCTTTCAATGTGGCAGGGGACAGGGGAATACTATACCATTAGGAATATAGTTTTGCATTCCTAACACTATAGTGTTCCTCTAAAGTGAGGCCTACATTTGCTGTTTACTTATTTTTTGGTACTCTCTTTTAGGTTTTTGGTTTTTTAAGAGTTGAAGGATATTTGGCATCACTTGACATCCTTTTCATTTATTTACACATTCATTGCATATAAACCAGCTAGCAGGCATACACTATCAGGGTTATTCACTAACGTAAGAATTCTACGTGAATTTCAAATTATAGGCCAAAAAACCTGAACTGAAAGCATAGCTTACTGACAGACGCAAAGGGCAGAACTCTTTCAGTGATTGATAGAAGATGAAGTACTCAGTCCAAGAAAAGAGTGGTGTGGATTTCTACATAAAATTTTAATTCTCAGAGTTCACAAACATATTTTTGTTAAATTCAGAGATCAGTAAACCTTATATTAAAAATCTGTACCCCTTTAGGCATGATATAAGGTAAGTCTTTTTTAAAAAATCACATTTTGGCAGAGGTTTTCAGCCAATTAAAAACAGTCCCAATATGTTTTATCAGACTAAGTGGTTTTAACTATATTGCAATATAGTTAACAATATTCTTGCTACTCTAGCATATACCTGATTGATTAGGCAGAAAAGTATTACGGTTTTGCTAAGATGAGATGTTATATTAATTTATATACAGTGGCTCTTGCCAAAAAGTATTGGATTAGAAAATGCTTTCTTAGCATATTTGTTAGTTAAGTTTTTAATACAAAAATTATCTAAACGGAGTGCCAATATTTCAGCACATAAAAGGCTTACCATGCAACTAATACAGATACATACCTTGATTTTCTTAACACAGATCTTGTTTATGCTTGTTCTGCACATTTGTAACGACAAATTATTATTTAAGTTTAATGTTAATATCCAGTACAAGGAAACGTGCAGATTAATTCAGGATTACTATGTAACAATTTATTTCATGAACATTGACAAATTATTTAATAGCATCACTTATTATTTCAGTAATATCACATAGTTAATGCTATTGCATTATTTCTCAGATAACAGCAAGTTTCTGGTAGCGATGTGATTTATTTTTTCAATACTTGAAGGAATACTTGGATGAATACATTTATGTATTATATACATAATATTGAAGATATGAAGAAATTGTAAATGGCAATTTTAATTATTTATATTAAGCCAACATATTCCTTAGCACTGTAAAATATATAAACAAGACAGACATTTAATTCTAACAGAATATATTAGACATGTGCAAACAGTAGGTAAAGAGAGCTCGGCACTAAATTTTAAAAAAGATACTTGTATTTGAAGTAAATACATTTTTGTCCACATCAGTATTACCTTAACAGCAGAAGAGGAAGATTGGAAGAGCTTCAAACTAGGTTTCTTTGGATCAACAGCAAAAACCAAATGAGAGGATGGCTGAACTGGATGGACACGTCTCTTTTCAGCCTATATAACTATGTAACTATGTAATGTAAAATGTGGATACTGCAATTACTTGGCAGGTGAGAGAATTGACCAGGAAATCGTTGTCCAAAGTAGCTGAATACAGAGAAGATGGTGGGTTCTACAATATTGTAGCCGCTACCCAACATTAAAGGACCTCTATAGTGTCAGGAAAACAAACTCGTTTTCATGGCACTATATAATCCTTAGGTCCCCCCCACCCTCGTGGCCCCCCCTACCGCTGGGCTGAAGGGGTTAAAACCCCTTCAGCCACCTACCTTAATCCAGCATCCAGCTCCCTCGGCGCTGGTGACCTCTCCTCCCTCTCCGATGTCAGCTCCTGAGTGGAGTCGTATGCGCATGCGCGGCCAGAGCCATGCACGCATTAAAAACGCCCATTGGAAAGCATTTCTCAATGCTTTCCTATGGACGTTCTGCGTGCTCAATGCGATTTTCACATTGAGCGTCGGGAAAGCACCTCTAGTGGCTGTCAGGAAGACAGCCACTAGAAGCTAGATTAACCCTGCAATGTAAACATAGCAGTTTCTGTGAAACTTCTATGTTTACATCTGAAGGGTTAAAACCTGGGGTCCTGGCACCCAGACCACTTCATTGAGCTGAAGTGGTCTGGGTGACTAAAGTGGTCCTTTAAGTATACCGGCCTCAAATCTACAACCGTGGTCAATAACCAGAATCCCATAGATGCAAAGAACTCCAACAATGCCATGCAGCTATGACATATATTTGAAATCATTGTTAAACTGATATTTTCAGGCAGATAATTGCAGGTTTAGGTAAGAGAATGAGGAACAAACATTACTTTCTTATCCATCTCATTACAAACTTTAGAACATCTTCACTGAATATGTATTTTTTGTTCATAGGATAACAAATAATAACATAATAACAATAGTAATAACAGTTTAGCTTTTTAACTAAGGAGAACATTCTTCAATTGATTTGTTTCGTAAATTTATATTGTGTCCATCCAGTTCTGCATTTTACTCCTGCATGCCTTTATGTGATTGGAATTCCATGAGCCCAGGAAGATGATTTTAAATAACAATTATGAAAACAAAAGCATCCAATTTTAAGTAATTGATCTGGGATCTGTTATGATTGCTATGTTTTTTTATATAACATTAAAGGACCACTATAGGCACCCAGACCATTTCAGTTCAATGAAGTGGCCTGGGTGCCAGGTCCCTCTACTGTTAACCCCTGCAGCTGAAAACATAGCAGTTTCAGAGAAACTGCTATGTTTCACTGAGGGTTAATCCAGCCTCTAGTGGCTGTCTCACTGACAGCCACTTGAGGCGCTTTCGCGATCCTCACTGTGAAAATCACAGTGAGAAGACGCTGGACGTCCATAGGAAAGCATTGAGTAATGTGGGCGTTTTTAATGCGCGTGCGGCTCTGACCACGCATGCGCATTCGGCTGCACTCGGGAGCTAACGTCGGAGGGGGAGGAGAGGTCACCAGCGCTGAGGGGGCCATGAGGAAGGGGGGACCTAAGGACTACATAGTGCCTGGAAAACGAGTTTTTAGTGGTCCTTTAAAAAAAGCATGATCAAAACGTTCCATGCATACTATCCCACACCCAAATGCACACATAAGGTTTCTGGTACCGCTGCATGGCCACAAGGTGACCTGCTCATGTCAAAGCAAAGCTCAAGTATGTGAGTCCTACCCTAACAGTTCAAATGACTGCTTTCCCATAAAAAAGAAGATATCTCACAAGATGGGGTATTGGGGTATTCTTACATTAACTTAATTGTATGAATTTCAAGCATGAATATTTTTCTCATCATTTACAATATGGCAGAAGATAAAAAAAAAACAGCATATACTTTAAAAATAAGTCTAGTTACAGATTTATTTTGTTTTTCTTCCTGATGTTTATTGTAACTTATTCTGTTTTAATCGTATTAGCTTAATGGGTAAAACCCATTTTCAGTTCAAACACTATTTTTAAAATGTTGATCTTAAAATGTTGGTGTTGATGAAAAAGTTTCAAACATCCAGGCTTATATTCTGTTTTATTTTGCTGGTGTTATTCAATAAAATTCTCTGCCATATTTTGTATAACACATCCCTAGTATTGTTTAAGTTTCTATATATCTTTAATATACTGGCTATTCTACTCTTTATTGTTATGAGAAAGAATGCAAATATATTATGAAATAGTAGCTAGCATTCAAAACCACACCCTGCCCGCCAGTTAGAATTTAGCTTAAACTTCTGAAATTACTTTTCTTTCTTTAGCCCTTTATAAGTGATTGGAATGTTGAAAGTGTCTCCAAAACTCGGCCGAGCACGAAGTCACAAGTCAACATTAAACGGTATGTAAATAATAAAAATAATGGTGTTAATATATATTAATTTTGTATTAATTTATGTATATATTATTATATATATATTATATATATATATATACAAAACAAGTAGCAAAGCAAAGGAGTAGTCTATGAGAAAAAGGAATTCTTACTGTTTGACCCTTTTACTGCATAATAATTTTTTTTTTTTAAGTGTTGTGCTTATCTTAAATGTGTAATACAAACAAAACTGCAAATTTGTGTTTGATTGTTACTGTTTAGCTAAAACAAAATTCGCCTTCAGATAAAAATGCTTATTTATGCATCATCAAGAGAATAGTAAGGGGTATAACCTAATAGGGTTCTTATTTATTTTGCAATGCTTACAAGTTCAGAGTAAATATTGCAGAAGGACAAATATATCATATACTCAATTATCATGCTCAGTGGTATTTTTAGAGAATGTTCTGATTATAATGTTTGTAGAATGCAGACACTTTAGGAATGCAGATTCCTAAAGTGTCTGTATTCTACAAACATTATAACAGTCTATGGTCACATAAAATTTTTATGTTGCCTGATTGAAATCATGTTTTTGTATTTTCCAAGCTTAATATGCCCTTATATTTGCCCAATACCATAGCTACATTTAAACCAAAGGTATGTGTATTCTTTGCTGTGTACCAGTTATCCTCACTTGTTCCAGTGTATATATAAGGAAGTAGCGATGATATCATATAATGCTCCTTTGTATGAAAATATGAACTGATCAGAACAGCAGTTTGTTTATTTATTATTATTGCCATTTATATAGCGCCAACATATTTTGTAGCGCTTTACAATATTATGAGAGGGGATATTAACTATAAATTTATCATGTGTGGACTAAAGCAGGAGCTTCAGGGATAACAATCTCAATAATTAACTAAATGAAACAATCATGTATGTACAGAGAGTTGGAAAGAAAGGGGTTATATGCCATGAAAATTGTCACGTTACAGGACTGAATGGCTTACTTGTTTTTAAGTAATGTGTTTTACAAAGGAACAAAAAAAGGCATATTTTATGTCCAGGTTTGTGTGTGTATGTGTTGTCTCTCACATATATATAACAATCGATTCATTTTATTTTGCAGATAATTTATCATTGATAAAGCACGCTCTAATATATTAATCCCAGGATAAGGAAAATGGGTTTTCCACTTGTTTTTCTGCTAATAATATCTGCACACAGGTGCATCGGATACTCTTGTCCAAATGAGCTCAATAGACTTCCAGGTAAAATTACTGTACTTTCTATCATTCACTTTTAGCATAAAACATTATTGCCAAACTGTTTTGCGATCTGTATGTTCAAGTTATTGAGATCTTATCTTATCTGAATACCTTATCTGAATACCTGGGGAATATATCACTCATTGTGCTGTCTCTTATTTTAACTATGCTTTTCATGCAGATAACAGTGATATTGTAGTAACCTGCGGGCCAACAGATATTCTGCTATCAATAAACGCCTGCCCAGTGTGGTTTGCTGGCTTTGAGCCACTTGAGTTGGCTCTCAATGGAAAGCATAATCTGTCTCAATGTCTGGGCACCTTCGATAACTCTACTGAAAATCCAGTCATGAAATTCTCCCTTCCTGTTGATGACACCAATGGAAATCCATGTGGCAACCTAATCGAGGCGAGTACTCTTTGTATTTCACTAGAATATACTTAGTCTATTGTACTATCCCCACAACAGTGAAGCATAATACCAGTAAGTAGGATAGTCTTAAACTGTAGTTATTATTCAGTCAACCTTTTCTTAAAATCGGTAAAATTCCAACAATACATGAACTCTGTTTCATAGAAAGACTTTGACTAATTAAACTCTTGCTGAGAATCAATGAAATTTTAACAATGCCTTATCTTAATATGAATTGTTTTCATACGAACAAGAACACAACGTCAGATTAGCATGAGAATGTTACTGTGTTATACCGTTTACTGCTGCGGAAACAATGCATTTTAGAGAAGGATGCAAAGAGAAACAAGAATACTACATTATATATAATCTCGGAAAAACTTATTGTGTTTGGCCCTAGATATAGGGACGCTGTGAGTAAATTTCCTATATCATTATTCATATGTGAGCCTATATCAGGTACCCTTTTCTGATCATCATACATGTTGGATGTGTATAAAATATTAAAGCTGTGGGACATTTTGATAAAGGACTACGATTCATACAAATATCACAGCTCCCCTGCTGCCAACTGTGAGCAATGAAGGGTCTCAAATCCCCTCATAGGAAAACCATGCAAACATAGAAGAGAGAATGTGAAATTGAGAAAAGGGAAGTTAAGAGATGAAGAGGCCAGAAGAAAATAATTAAAAATAAACACAAAAGAAAAACTAGGCTTAAGTCGATGAGAAAGAATAAAGATAGCTGAGAACTGGTGAGGGGATAATGAGTAAGAAAGGTAAAAGAAAGAATTTAAAAAGATAAGGGAAAAGAATGAGAATAGGGGGATCCGTGTGCGGAGGCTGTTAAAATATTTACTATAATAAAGATTATTTAATATCTTCCTTCGGCAAAACTATGAGGAATCCATCTATCATTTTTCTGTTTGAACAGTTGCAACATACAGGGAGTGCAGAATTATTAGGCAAGTTGTATTTTTGAGGATTAATTTTATTATTGAACAACAACCATGTTCTCAATGAACCCAAAAAACTCATTAATATCAAAGCTGAATATTTTTGGAAGTAGTTTTTAGTTTGTTTTTAGTTATAGCTATGTTAGGGGGATATCTGTGTGTGCAGGTGACTATTACTGTGCATAATTATTAGGCAACTTAACAAAAACAAATATATACCCATTTCAATTATTTATTATTACCAGTGAAACCAATATAACATCTCAACATTCACAAATATACATTTCTGACATTCAAAAACAAAACAAAAACAAATCAGTGACCAATATAGCCACCTTTCTTTGCAAGGACACTCAAAAGCCTGCCATCCATGGATTCTGTCAGTGTTTTGATCTGTTCACCATCAACATTGCGTGCAGCAGCAACCACAGCCTCCCAGACACTGTTCAGAGAGGTGTACTGTTTTCCCTCCTTGTAAATCTCACATTTGATGATGGACCACAGGTTCTCAATGGGGTTCAGATCAGGTGAACAAGGAGGCCATGTCATTAGATTTTCTTCTTTTATACCCTTTCTTGCCAGCCACGCTGTGGAGTACTTGGACGCGTGTGATGGAGCATTGTCCTGCATGAAAATCATGTTTTTCTTGAAGGATGCAGACTTCTTCCTGTACCACTGCTTGAAGAATGTGTCTTCCAGGAACTGGCAGTAGGACTGGGAGTTGAGCTTGACTCCATCCTCAACCCGAAAAGGCCCCACAAGCTCATCTTTGATGATACCAGCCCAAACCAGTACTCCACCTCCACCTTGCTGGCGTCTGAGTCGGACTGGAGCTCTCTGCCCTTTACCAATCCAGCCACGGGCCCATCCATCTGGCCCATCAAGACTCACTCTCATTTCATCAGTCCATAAAACCTTAGAAAAATCAGTCTTGAGATATTTCTTGGCCCTGTCTTGACGTTTCAGCTTGTGTGTCTTGTTCAGTGGTGGTCGTCTTTCAGCCTTTCTTACCTTGGCCATGTCTCTGAGTATTGCACACCTTGTGCTTTTGGGCACTCCAGTGATGTTGCAGCTCTGAAATATGGCCAAACTGGTGGCAAGTGGCATCGTGGCAGCTGCACGCTTGACTTTTCTCAGTTCATGGGCAGTTATTTTGCGCCTTGGTTTTTCCACACGCTTCTTGCGACCCTGTTGACTATTTTGAATGAAACGCTTGATTGTTCGATGATCACGCTTCAGAAGCTTTGCAATTTTAAGAGTGCTGCATCCCTCTGCAAGATATCTCACTATTTTTGACTTTTCTGAGCCTGTCAAGTCCTTCTTTTGACCCATTTTGCCAAAGGAAAGGAAGTTGCCTAATAATTATGCACACCTGATATAGGGTGTTGATGTCATTAGACCACACCCCTTCTCATTACAGAGATGCACATCACCTAATATGCTTAATTGGTAGTAGGCTTTCGAGCCTATACAGCTTGGAGTAAGACAACATGCATAAAGAGGATGATGTGGTCAAAATACTCATTTGCCTAATAATTCTGCACTCCCTGTAGACATAAACAAAATCATAATTTGTAATGTTATCTTGATGTTTTACATATATATATATATATATATATATATATATATATGTAATGTATATTGTTTAGATCTTTATTACGGAATCTGTTTCCTGATACAGATTATACAGGGATCTGGGAGTGGTGCCTTCAGTGACTACTCAAACATCCAAACTGTGGGCGTCTCTGGATTTGTGGATTCTCCATCACTCTCAGAAAATGGAATTGTCACATATAGTACAAACCTGTACTATAACTTTTCCTGCTTTTACCCTCTACAATACATATTAAACAATACTCAGCTTCTGACGTAAGTATTGTTACCTAGTCAAAGTCATAAATAACACTCAATACTTTTGTTGGCTGATCAGTATCTCATACGAGTTCAGATACCGTTGTATAGATATGCATGCATGTGATCTACATTAACTTGTAAGAAAAAAATAAATTTTGTCCCTAATGAATTGTGGGAGCTGAACACAATAGATACGATTTGCAGCCATGTGTTGAATATGGTTTAAATAGCGATATTATTCCTTATTTTTATACAGATCATTTGGAGCAGTGGCTGTCAATTCCAACAATGGCAGTTTCATTAGTACTCTGAGTATGCAGCTATTCACAGTGAGTACTCACACAACTGATACTTCACAAGGAAGGTGTGATGCCTTTATTTGGAATACATTCTAATAATATTTATCATTTAGTATTTCTGAATCTACCTCTAAATATATCAATAACCTCTGTCTGCCAAGCGCACAGTGCAAATTCCTTCTTAGGTCTATTGACAAAGGGCCAGCCCAGTTGGACCCCTAAGTATAGATTCTGACAGAAAATTGCAATATTGTTGATTTAATAGTATTTGCAAATTAATAAAATGTGCACTTAGCCAAACTTAAAGAGATTTCTCACGTTTCAATCATAATTTTGGATATCAGTGAACTGATCCGTGAAGAATGTTCAGTCAATCCAACATTCATCAAATATCTTCACACCTCCCTGGATATAACTACAAGAAGGTTCCTTTGACAACCCAAGAGAATTAAATCAGTCTGATAATGCAGGGAAATCTCATTCAGTCATAGTTGGTGGCAGTAATATTCTAAATTAGCTGAAATATTATTCAAATTGCTCAGCTCAACCAAACCTCTAATTTACTCATGTCCAATGAGAATAACTCAACTTGAGCTACTCAGCTGACTGTTCATTAAAGTGATCGTAGGCTCAACTCAGGAAAAATAATCCTTGAGATGTTTGTCAGTTATTTAAGTGAAATCGCATATTTAGTACCTCGATAGCTGGAGTAGAAACAGATTATCTAGAGAAGTTTTCCAGTTTCATTATTTGAATAATGTGCTATGTGACACAATCAAGTCCCTATTTGTCACACTACGCCTTGAAATTGACTGTATTGCTCCATCACAAATTGTGTAATTTTCACTTTTATTTTCATTTTTACACTACCATCCTCCATCTATAAATATAGAAGTAGAATAAAATAATATTAAAGGGACACTACAGCTTATGGTATTTGTACTGGTGAGTAGAATCATTACCTTCAGGCATTTTGCAGTAAACACTGTCTTTTCAGACAAAATGCAGTGTTTACATTACAGCCTTGTGATAACTTCACTGGCAACTTCTCAGATGGCTACTATAGGAGCTTTCTGGGGCAGCCTGCCATTTAGTGTCTCCTCCCTCTGCATGGAGACACTGAACTTTCCTCATAGAAATGCATTGATTGGCCAGGGCTGTGTTTGGCTTATGCTGTCTCTGCCTCTGATCTACCACATTCACAATCTTAGCCAATTCTATGGGAAAGCATTGTTATTGGCTCAGAGAATCATTTCTGATGATGTCAGTAAAGCAGGCAGATCAGGGAAGAGGCAGCAGCTGCGGACTTGAATATAAGTAAGATTTTACTATTTTTATGGAGGCAAGGCTGGGGATAAGGGGACTAGAGGATGGTTTTAACACTATAGGGTGAAGAATATATGTGTGTGCTCCTGTCTCTATAGTGTTCCTTTAATAGCAAATGATAATTATATATCTATTTGTTTTAAGGATCAAGGGTTCTCCAAGGCACTGGTGTTAGAGGGAAAGGTTTTGCCTTTAAAGCAAACCGTCTATGTTCAAGTCGCTCTCAACAATTCAGCAACAAGGTAAATATTAAAATAATTATTCAGAGTATTCTTTGGCGTTCATCATAACTAAGGCTCACACCATGGTGATGCCTCCAAGCAGTGTGATTGCATGTATTTCATTTTCCATAAACCTGTTTAATTTACAAAATTTGAAAACGATGCAACATCTCAATCACTTAAAGTTTTTTTAAGACCAGATTATAAAGATGTCAGCAATGTAAGTGGAAATTTGTCATACGTGACACAACTGGCTATATAAGTACGTTGAGCATGAATTTGGGCCTATTTTACGATAAACTGTTCAGCATACTTTTCATGGCAAACTATTTACAGGTGTTAAGAAAAAAGTATAGTTGAGAACCAGCGTTTATTTGTTTGAATTTCAATAGATCAATATATAATTAATTACAGTAAGCTGCTATACATTCAAGTGTTTCCTTACAATAACACCATAACAGAAATACAAAACGAGAAAAGAATGTAGCGCTTTAAAAATACAAATAGAATAAATTAATCACCTGTTTAGGTTCAGATAAAGATTTTTCCTTTTTACATCGAAATGTGTATATATATCTACAAAAAGTAATCAAACATAGTGTAGATAATTTTAAAGCGCTACATTCTTTTCTCGTTTTGTATTTACAGGTGTTGCTCTAAGACTAGAAGAATTGTTTACACCTTTTTAAATTTCTCTCAATTAATGTACTGATCATTCAAATTAGCCAGTTTCTAATCATAACCTTGTTCACAAGATTAGATTTCATGTTGCATTTATATGCAAAACAAAATCTAGATTGAAAGAACTTCCATATTCCTCTGTTTTTGCTCTGGAGTCCATTCAGCAGAAAAGCAAGTTTGTCTTCCGTTGCTGTACTGTCCCAATCTTATTATCTTTAAATGGGGCATAAAGTAAAGGGCTGCGTTTTAGTGACAAAACAGGGAAGGATAAGGTAAGAGTTCAGGGTATACCCTAGAGCAGTGGTAGACAGCCTTTAGCACTCCAAATGTTGTGGAGTACATCTTCCATAATATTTACAGCCATAAAGTTAGCAAAGCACCAGTGGCGATATTGTCTACATCCACAATATCTGGAGAGGTGAGCATTGCCTATCCCTGCTCTAGGACATACTTGTAGACTGTAATAACAGCCTGTAGTGTTCAATAGTGTGCATATATGTGATTTAGCAACAAAAAAAACTGTGAATGTAGAAATCAACATGGCATACAGACATTCATATTACATTATATTGCCATATTTTGACATCTGTATTTCTAAATGTGCACATTTTTGTTACAAAAACCCCAAACCCACATGCCTTTTTCTTCTTTGATATCTTTGGCACACCTCTACCTCTTGAACATGTCAAAAATGTAATTCCTCTGCTAATATTTTAGAAACTGCATGAACTGACATAGGATTATTTTTAGGTATCACTGTGCAGAAATATATGAATGCATTTTCAGCTTTGAGTTAAGTTTTTGTGATAATTATTTAAAAAAAAAAATAATGATAAGAAACATTTTCAATGTGTGTGGGAGTTATATGATTTGATAAAAACAGATAATTAGTATAGGTATACTAATTATCTTTATATGGAAAACAAATATAAACAATATTACAAAACTGACATTATATTTTCCTTTTTAGTTTCAATATTATTCTGGACCAGTGCTTTGCTACTCCATCTCCTATTGTCACACAGACAGCTCTTCCAAATGAGAAGTACAGCTTCTTTACAGGGTAAACATCAAATGCTAATTATTACTCTACCAACAATTAAAAATATTCTATAAATCTGACGATAAATTCAAACCCTTCTCTTATTACCAGTTCCAAAGTGCAAGCTATATCTGCCGCAGCCATCACAGTATAACATGTAGGCAATTTGTCACATTTTTTTCAGCTAATATAAAATTATAAGCATTGTATAGGCCAGGCATAGGCAACCTTTGGCACTCCAGTTGTTTTGGACTACACCTCCCATGATGCTTTGTCAACATGTGTGTAAGAGCATTATGGGGATGTAGTCCACAACATCTGGAGTATAGGCCATATGTCAATTTTTCTTTCAGATCTAGATTAAACTTTATTATCACTGTGCAGTGTACATACAAAGACAATGAAACACAGTTGGCCTTTGATCAAAAATAGAGTAGCAATTAATAAAACATATTATAAAATAAATAATGTACTCTCAGTGTAAAATGTACCTAATGCAGTCCTTACCTAATGCCATAATACACCTAATAACTAAGAAACATAATCCCTCAATTATTAATATAAAAACTTTAACAGCCTAATAATACATATAGACATTACACAATATTGCTACCAATAAATACCCATTCAACTATAGAGCTATAGGCCCCAATCCAAACTAGAAACCTCTATCCAATATAAAACAGTCATACCTTCTCATAAACAATTTTTCTTTATGAAAAATAGTTGTATATGTATGGAAATAGTGGATATAGAAGGTTACACAGTGTGACGGGGTTCTCTTGTGCAAGAAATAAAATAAAAAATCTGATTTTAAATAGAGAATACATGAACTTAGAAGGTTCAAAATGGTTTAAAAATCTATGTTACTATATTTATCTGTTCCAACCTTTCTTTTGTATTTTTATGGGTAATTGCATGAGTCAGGAATTTCCAATCAGAACCTGGGTTTAATTTTGTGAGCAAACTAAAACAACCCTATTTTTATTGTAGATGTGATGTGAACAACAAGACTAAGGTTATTTCAAATGGAGAAAGTATAACTGCAAGGTTTAGCTTTGAAACATTCCGCTTCCTGCAGTATAGTCTTCAAAAAACATCATCAATGTACCTACATTGTATCACCAGACTGTGCCAGCCTAACGACTGCCTTGCATTTCTTCAAGTGAGTAATTACTGCCAATCATATACTGGAAAAGTACAACCTTGCACTATGGGGCTGGGGGAGGAAGAGGTATAAAAGGGGTAAAAAAAAAACTACAGTAATCTCACAACACACCCATGGGGTAAAAATCAGCCGACAACAATGTTGGACTGCAAATTCATATATCCATCCCTGTGAAAACACAGGGTAGATACCACAGTTACAGTAGAATAAGTCAGTATGATACACTAGGCTCCGAGCACCGGAACGGGTAACCAAACCTTGCCTAAACCTCCGGAAGCCTTGAATCCACACCGCTTGACTTCTCTATCCAAAAATAGAAACACACCCATACAAACAGAGTATTCCACAGGGGTTAAACATCAGTCGGATCATAGTCTCTCCTTCTCCACCCAATTACCGCAAAGATATCGCCCTCGTGATGTCTTGGGGGAGAAGGGGGAGACGCGTGGCATAAGGGTGAGACATATATGACCTCCGATTGTAAAGGGGGAAGGAACTAGTGCCTTGGGTGATTATTGGGTCAGGCAAGTGTTTGTTGATCACACTGAATTTTAACTAGGGAACTACAGGATATTCTTATACTCCATAATTGAACCCTTGACTACTGCTACATTACTAACCACCAAGAGGCTGACACCAACCTCAATCCAGTGGCCATAGGGGCAGAGGCAATTGCCCCCCAGGCCACCCCAAAACCGGCCGCTGCAGGTCCGGTCCTAATGCTGCAGCTGCCTGAGCGCTCTGTTAAGCGCTCTTCCACTACACACAAACACACTGCATCACCTACACAAACTGGTATCCCTATGCACTACATACCATAGGCACACATATTAGATCCTCTACAATAACACATAACACATCCCCTACACACTCCACTCCCTGTGAGCGAACTCATGGGTGGGTGGAACGTATAAGTGGACTTATAAGTGGGCCTTGTGGGCATACTCACCGTCAGGCCCTGGGGCCCAGACCTTGAGCTGTGTAAATGGAGCTGCTTCCAATTATCCCAGAACATTGAATTTTGTGACCACAGTTGCAAACAGCCTCCAGAGATCCTGTTCTACACCAGACCAGTGGAGCCAAACTGCAGCCCATCATCATCCTCATCTGGTTGTAAGTAGGCAGTCTAGTATATTATTAGTGACACTAATCTATAATTTACCTCACATTAAAGGGACACTATAGTCCCCAGAACGACTGCAGCTTAATGAAGTGGTTCTGGTGTCTATAGCCGGTCCCTGCAAGCTTTTTAATGTAAACACACACTGTGTGCAGCACTGGCGTTAGTTCATATGGCAGATCATATGGGTGGGGCATTGTGATGTCACATGGGGGGCGGCAAATTCAGCTGTTCCCCATGCAGCCACAGGTGCCGCTGTGCTGGGAGAATGTGATTACTCTTCACTTCCTCCCAGCCTGCAGAGCAACTCATGGGAGAGAGAGAGGAGGAGGCATGATTTAATCTTACAACAAATCCAGTAAGCAAATCTTTATAAATTTTGGGGGCATCAGCTCTGTTTCCACAGTTTATTGGTGTTTACTCTGATGTCTGTATTAATATTGAGGGATTTCTAAGTAGTAACATCAGTGTGTGTCAGCAGGGCCAGCCGTTGGGGTGTGCACGCTGTGCGGTCACGCAGGGTGCCATCACAACAGAGGCGCCCGGCGGACAACACAGCTCACAAGTTTGGGACAGCAGCATATTCAATTTAAACAATTCGCTGGTGGTCCACTGGTGCGCACCAGCAGTAGGTGCAGTCAGATTATAGCCTCTCCCTCGTGGTTCCGGCGCTCAGTTAGTGAGTCAGAGAACAGGCTCAGAGATTCTCAGCCTGCGCTCTGACAACATTGAAAGTCAGAGCCGTGAAGGAGCGGGTATGGCAAAGAGCTACTGATTAGCATAACATCAATATCCGTTATAAAACCAGGAAAAGGTGGGCATGGATGGTGAACTGATTTGGTGGTGCAATGGGCCGCTTGACTGGTTTTGCCCCCCAGGCCTAAGGCTGCCAGCCCTCACCTGTTTAGGGGTGTACATAAGCTGGCTGCAAAAGCCCTCGGGCAACAACTGACCTCCCTTCCCTTTTTGCTGTCCTTTTCTCTCCCTTCATCTCCCTCTCGGGGGGCCAGGGACAGCTTATAATAAGGTCCTAAGTATCTGAACCAAATTTTACATATTATTGTTCATGGTTCTACTTCATTTGTTGCATGAACCTTTGTCGTCAGACTACACGTTGGTCAGGATGGTAACAGAGAGCGCATACAACATCAATAGCTGTGTTTAATTAAAGTGGAATGTTCAAAATCATAACTACAACATGTGATGTATGGCTACTGTATAAATTCTGTAAGGTCACAACTGTAAAATTTATAACGGCAAAACAAAAATAAAGAAATAAAAAAAACATTTTAAAGTACAACCTTGCACTTTTGTTTCAGAAACCTCTACATGTGGTAAACAATTAAGTACTGAAAAACTATAATTGTATATTCTCTTATTTCTAGATTATATGGGAAAGTGATTGCTATTCATACATACATAACATTTTTTTTCAACACAGGGATGCACTTATTCTAGAAGGAAAAGATCAATTACTTTTGATGGGAGTACAGAGAAATCTGTGACTGTTTCTTCGGGACCCATCTATACGTCCGGTAAGGATAAAATATTGTCTGTTGTTCTAAAGCGAGATTGCGCTAATTTAACTTTTTTCTTCTGAACTTTATACTTCATGCTGGTCATGGAAAAATCCAGAAATACACAACAAATGTTAACAGTTAATGTAATACAATATATTATTGTATGAAACTCCACATGGCATTGCCAAAGTATAATATCTTCTCCTGTAGGTAGTCTCCCAATCAGGGAAATTACAGATGAATTCTATATCATTAAAGTAACACTATAGGCACTCAGACCACTTCATCTTATTGAAGTGGTCTGGGTGCAGAGTCCCGGTTCCCATAACCCTGCAATGTAAAACATGTTTTAGAGAAACTGTAATGTTTATATTGAAGTGTTGAGACTGCCTCTAGTGGCTGTCTAGCAGCCCATCAAAAGGCACACGCCACACATGTGCATTAGGTTATCCCATCGACCGATTCCAGCGGAGGGGGAGAGCGTCTCGGCACCGAGGGACATCGGCTCTGGAATCAGGTAGGTGAAAGAATGAAAGGAAGGGTTCTTAACACCTTCCATGGATGGGGATGATGAGCAGAAACCTAAATAATGTTCTTAGCGCTGAACATTTTTTATAAATATGTATAAAAGACAGATGAGTCAATATCTACAGAGTCCGACCATAGTGAATTAATTATTGAATATTTTAAAATGAATGAGGTTTTCAGTTAAACTGACATCAGAAAAACGGTCTCCTTTATACAGGGTGATTGACTGAAGTGAGAATTCAAACTGAATTGCAAATTCGAGGACAATATAGTCGAACTGCAAAATTCTCCAAGTTATCTATGCTTAAAGTTCGGCTACTTTGGCAACAAAAACAGAAAACCTGAGACCTCTGAGGATGGGCAACAGCTTAGAGACACTCAGTAGCTTGCCCTTCAGTAAATCCTCGCTCAGGTCTCAAAAATGTATTTGCTCTCTTGTGCCATTATAGAGAGAACCTTTACTATTTGCATATCAGACTGGTCCCACCTATAAGGACAGTCCAGAACTGAAATGCCGGCAAGTTCTTCTTTCTGCCTCACTAGCAAATTGTAGCTGATCCCCTTCTAGACTTGGCCTCTCAGCTACTCTGGCCTCAATTTGTAATTCACTGTGACTTTTATTGAATTCTTACTTTAGTGAATAAACTTGATGGACTTTGAAACATTTTACAAACCATTTTGGAAAGAGTCGTCTTTATTAGGGGGGCTGGGGGTTGTTATTTTTCATGCACCATGTGCTATGACTTCTGGGTTTCAGAAGTAGGATTTTCAGTAACTACAAACTAGGGAAAATAGTTGAAAAAAATATTATTAAAATAAAATGTAAACGTAGTTATTAATTCAATTTTAAATAATAACCGAATGACTCAATTTAAATGGTTACCAGGTACGGTGACTACTTTAGTGATTTGAAGTGGCCATGGTGCCTGAAGTACGTATGTGTAGCGTTTATGAAATGATGGACATACAAAAACAACATCTGCTAAAATAAAAAAAAAAAATAAAACTAAAGATACTGCTCAGTTGACTCAAATAGAGACTATTTAACACTATAGCTTAGAAATAAAGTTTAGATTGGGTACATTTACCAAAGATCTAAAAGCAGATCAGTGGACAGAGACACTTTAAAGAGACCACAGTGAACTGCATATTCAGAGTCAAACCCCTCTGCTGCATAACTCCACCACCAGCAGAGTCATTGGGGCGTCATTACTCAGCCTGGAACAAACGTTCCCTGGTGGCATCAGTGACATTGGTGGAGGAAGAACTCTATAGCATTTGTGAATATAAGCCTGCACTTCTAACACTATTGTGTCACTGTCCCTAGTACTATATTGGAAACCTCCCTCCCCCCAACCCATTCGTGTGCCATTAAAATCAATTTAAAAAAAGATTTACTCAACTTTTTCCAGCACTAAGGCTCCCTCAGCATTTCTAACCATTCAGCCTCCTGCAAGATCATCAAGGAGGCGTGCCCTCCACCACAATGGCCCAATCCAATGATCCTCATAGAGGCGAGTGCTGCACACGCACATCCAAGCTTCCCCATAGGAAAGCATGTATTCAGTGCTTTCCTATGGGCTTCCGTGTCACGTGACCAATTTTTTACTCGGTCACTGCCGAGAAAGTGCCTATAGTGAGATGAAGTCGTCTGGGTGACTCTGGTGTCCCTTTACGTTTTATGACATGATTTGTAGTTGCACTACTAGCAATCAACTGGTTTGACTATTTATCCAGTTTATGAGCTAGTGAGCAAGCTAAATTAATAGATATTTTGTTGCAACAAATATAGTGTACACAATCTACCATAATCACTGCATTGCTAAAAATAGTTTAGGATATAAGCAATCTATGCAATGTTATAGTTAAAAATATTTCAATTCTAAAAACCTCCCTGGAAAATCTATTTTCTATTTTCCATTTATTTATAACAATATATCACATTTTCCATTCCACAGATACAGCAAGTGATTCTTCCAGCTCAATAGAAAATGGTAAGCGTTGCCCGGAAAAGTATATGTATCTAATTCTAAAATGAGTAGCACTTTATATTGTTGTTGAATTGTTCTAATGATCAGCATTTCTTCTCTATTGTTGGAATTTCTTTCAAGCGTACTGTATATTACATAAGCGTCTTGATTCAATGAGATATCTGACTGCCATTCTGGGGTCAAGAAGGATTTTTTTCTAGTTTGTTGCAAAATTGGAAGTGCTTCAGACTAGGTTTTTTGCCTCCTTTTGGATCAACAGCAAAAATAAATGTGAGAAAGGCTGAACTTGATGGATGCATGCAGCTATGTAATACGGTGACAGCTGTAAAAACTGTATCCCAGGAGTGTAATTCTCACTAAATTCAGTCAACACTAGAAGACATATGTCCCAGTGTCACTCTAACAGAAAACATAATTCCTTAACCCCAACATTACCCTACTACACTACCCTAGTCGTAATCCTAATCCTAATCCAAACTCTGAGTCTATTACACTAACCCAAGCTGAAACACATCATGTGATGGATATGTCAGGATTACTATTTGATCCAGCATGTAAAATTGTGTCACACAGAGGACTAAGAGGTAACGTATTACCGGGCCTTAGAATGGCCGGACTAACGTTCCAAAGAATAGTCAAGATACTTGCCAAGGTCAGGGGACACAGAACGGGACACAACGATAAAGGAAAGCCAGAAGTCAGGGATACCAGAATACAGGAAAGTCAAAACAAAGCCAAAGTCAAAAAACAGAATATAACGTTTCAGGAAAACACTCTCGGACAACCACTAGGGACACCATGACAGGGCAATGAGGAAAGGTAATCCGCAGCTGGGTGCAGAGACCGCAAGGTGAGGGAGAATATGTTACAGTATATATATATGATGCATAAGGTGACGCTTTTATATGGGGAAAATTATGCCATTTGAGATTAATGGAGAGGTTTAACAACACGACCATTTACGCTTTCTATTTTTATGCTTTTTTCCAGAATCACAAAAGCTGTCCGGGACCCTCACTGGACTTATCGTTGGTCTTGTCCTTGCTGCTGTCATGGGAACTGCTATTATCATTGGCAGTCTAAAGTTGTATAACACCTATCGCAACAAGTCAGCAGCCTAATGCTGTATAAAACGCATCATGCTAATTTAGATGCATACAAAGCATAGCAGCACTTTAAAAGGGCAGTAAAATCAGCAGATATTAGATACACGGGGGAAAGATGTATCAATGTGTTCTTTTCTAAAATGTGATGCAAAAATGTAAAAGGGGGTGGGGTTACCAACAGAATTTGTTTGGTGGAAAAAACTTACAATACTGGAGCGCTTAATATACACAGTTCTACAGGGGTAAAGTAGAGTTATTTAACAATTGTGTATTACACAGTATCTCTTTAATTGCCTGCTACCACACTTCAAAGTGATCCCTTCACCACATACAAAAATAGAAATTATAGTGTTAAGAAGTGGAGCAATGTTAGAGCTAAAGGACAAAACCCCTTTCCCACATGCAATCAAGTGATAAAAAAATAAATTTATACCTGCATGGATCAGTGAATATTATTGAATTCTATAAACATTGAATTAAATCAGCTTAATTAGCTGGATGAAAGTTTATTACAGTATTACCACAAATTAAAAAACGCACAACGGTGTAAATCTGTTTACCCACAAACAGGTTTTCCCGCACTGGGAGATGTCTCCTGTACCAGAAGATGGCTGATCGTCTGTGGGGTGCCTTTTTATTTTGTCCGGATGGCGTCTGGTCTTGCTTCTGCTTTTTTGAAACGCCCGGCTTCTGAATAGGCTCTGCCCCCTTATTGACGTACTTCCGTATAATACGTATCATATAAACCTGTTTGTGGGTAAACGGATTTACACCGTTGTACTCACCACCACATCTAGTAAGCAGTAACCTGCTATACATTTTGATAGTGTTTGGCTTCACTGTTGCATCAATTAAGCAGTAATCTGCTAAACATATGTCAACTAAACAGTGAATTTAGGTGTATTTTATGTTTTTATTATTATCATTCTTTTATTACTTTTTATAGCCTGTTATGTATTGATTATTATCTTCTGTTTTTAATTTGTGGTAATACTGTAATAAACTTTCATCCAGCTAATTAAGCTGATTTAATTCAATGTTTATAGAATTCAATAATATTCACTGATCCATGCAGATCTGTTCTATGATCCTTTTCATATATTTTTTCCCATATATGCTGAGCTTGAATTGGGATATTAAGCAACAAGCAATATAAGTATAAATGTATTTTTTATCACTTGATTGCATGTGGGAAAGGGGTTTTGTCCTTTAGCTCTAACATTGCTCCACTTCTTAACACTATAATTTCTAGAATTTGTTTGGTGGTTCCATCTGTTTCCATGGCAATTGCACCACTTTCAGTACTTTAGGTCACTTTTTAGAACTGATCATTTGGTAAATTATCCCCAGGTTAACGGTAATTTTTGGTAGTAACTCATAGCAACATATGTCTAATGCTTTAAAATCATGTATATTCGATTTTTTTTTAAATTGCCTTTATTTCGTCCAGTAATAGTAATAATATATTTGTGTCTCTTTTCTATTCCTTAACAGTTAAATGTTGATCCTATAGACTGTAAGCTCATTTGAGCAGGGCCCTCTTCAACCTATCGTTCCTGTAATTTTTCTTGTAATTGTCCTATTTATAGTTACATCCCCCCTCTTATAATATTGTAAAGCGCTATGGAATCTGTTGGGGCTATATAAATGGCAATAATAATAATTATAATAATATCTTTAATTCTGAATGTATATGAAAACATGAAAATATCCAAGTTTTGTTTTTTATTTTTAAACTCTTTGTTTTTATAATTTTTGTTTTATTTTTTCCATTCTTAATGTATGGATAACACATAAAATGTCTCAATCAATTTGATGTTACAATCACATTCCTTAATCTTTCTTATCCCAAGCATAATTAAATATTTAGATGTGTGATAGAAAAGCAATGTAAACATATGTGTATTCTACTTTATATTATATTTTATTATGAATATATACAGATACATATGAATCCAAGAAGGTTGCACTCCCCTAAATACATGTATGTGTTGTAACGGTTCTGTTAGGACCAGTTCACACACACTCACTAACATACACACATTCTCTCTTATCCACTCAAAAAGTAGTTTTACTATATATATATATATTTAAAGAAAAGTACTTCCCAGGTTAACAACCTAATGGGGAGTACCAGCAAAAAGAGGGTTATTGGGGTGGCAAAGTGGGCATAACCCGGCATAAACCGCAAAAGAGAAAAAAGATGAAGGATATGATCACCCCGTAAAGAAAACAGGCTGATCACCTTCAAGCCACCCCTAAATGACGTCTCAAAAAAATAATAATAAACAACTTTAATTGGAAAACTAGAAAACAAACAAAGTTATAAAATAGAGGGCCTGGTATCTGCAGAAATATAGCTAAACTCACATGTATCAATATCTACACAATGTAGCAAACTCACTCATGACAGAGTGGTAATTAGGATACATGTAGCAATGTATAGTAAATGGTGTCATGTACTAGACCCCACAGGGTAAACACTCCGGTATAGAAATCGAAAGGATAGAGGAGGTAAAAAAGTGAGAATGAAAAATAAAGTGGAAATAACCTATCAAAGATATAATACAGCAGTATTTAAAGGTAATGTCTAACCACAGATAACTCACTAAGCCCTATCACCTTCTAACACTCCGGTATAGAAATTGAAAGGATAGAGAAGGTAAATAAGTGAGAATGAAAAATAAAGTGGAAATAACCTATCAAAGATATAGTACAGCACTATTTAAAGGTTATGTCTAACCACAGATAACTCACTAAGCCCTATCACCTTAGGACAAATGTCCAGAGCAACAAAGTAGCTCAAGCATCGGTGTAACACCCTGTTATCCAAAAACATCAAGTAAATCTAAGTTAAAACATGGACAACCCAACGCGCGTTTCGGCGGTCTAACCGCCTTTTTCAAGGGCAATCAAAAAGTAATGAAGTAAACCGCGTACACATTCCCCCCCCCCAGGGCTATTTAAATGTCTTCTCGTACCTCCTACCTGCTGTTATTGGTTGTAGCTTGTCATTATGTTGATCCGTGTTGAAAGGGGTAACTGCGCATGTCAGGGGAACCTCGCGCATGCGTGCCCAGCAGACTCCAAAGTTAGTGCGCATGTCCGAAAAATGGTAATTAGCGCGCATGTCCGCTCACTGGCGGACACGCATGCGCGAAGACTTCCTGCATACCTAGAAGGGCACCCAAATAGTGCGCATGTCCGCAGCCTTATGGCCGCGCATGCGCAAGAAACTTAGACACAAAATGAACCGCTTATATAAATGTAGTACAACCAATAACAGCAGGTAGGAGGTACGGGAAGACATTTAAATAGCCCTGGGGGGGGAATGTGTACGCGGTTTACTTCATTACTTTTTGATTGCCCTTGAAAAAGGCGGTTAGACCGCCGAAACGCGCGTTGGGTTGTCCATGTTTTAACTTAGATTTACTTGATGTTTTTGGATAACAGGGTGTTACAGCGATGCTTGAGCTACTTTGTTGCTCTGGACATTTGTCCTAAGGTGATAGGGCTTAGTGAGTTATCTGTGGTTAGACATAACCTTTAAATACTGCTGTACTATATCTTTGATAGGTTATTTCCACTTTATTTTTCATTCTCACTTATTTACCTTCTCTATCCTTTCGATTTCTATACCGGAGTGTTAGAAGGTGATAGGGCTTAGTGAGTTATCTGTGGTTAGACATTACCTTTAAATACTGCTGTATTATATCTTTGATAGGTTATTTCCACTTTATTTTTCATTCTCACTTTTTTACCTCCTCTATCCTTTCGATTTCTATACTGGAATGTTTACCCTGTGGGGTCTAGTACATGACACCATTTACTATACATTGCTACATGTATCCTAATTACCACTCTGTCATGAGTGAGTTTGCTACATTGTGTAGATATTGATACATGTGAGCTTAGCTATATTTCTGCAGATACCAGGCCCTCTGTATCCATCTATTTTATAACTTTGTTTGTTTTCTAGTTTTCCAATTAAAGTTGTTTATTATTATTTTTTTGAGACGTCATTTTGGGGTGGCTTGAAGGTGATCAGCCCGTTTTCTTTACGGGGTGATCATATCCTTCATCTTTTTTTTCTTTTATATATTTATTTAAGCTTACCTTTCAGAGAGATGGTGTGGATCCTCTTTTATTGGGGCTGCTGTAATCTTTGTGGTCTTTCTGTGCTGCTCTCTCGCAGCGAGGGAGCAGTGCAGGAACAGCACAGAGATTACATCTCCCTCGCTGACCGGCTACAACCCCGCTGGACATTGACATTTCGTCAGAGTAAACACCTGCCTTATCACATTGCCGCCAGCTTCATGGGAGGCCCTAAGGTGACCAGCCAGCCCCATGATAAGCGGAACACTTATGACTTCAGTGGCCCCTGTTGTTCCTCTTCTGCTCCATCATTAGTTACTTCTGTATAGAGTAGTGAAATTGACTTTAGGGCTATGATAGGTTGAAGCAGACGTTAAATGTGTTTTTTAATAGGTGCCAGCAAAAAAAGTGTCATTCCCATCTGGCAATGAATTCAAACTAATACATTAATTTGGCTAGAGTTATGCATATCTATTGAGTAAGACTTCAAGTAATTGTGATATTTGTAATCGGATGAAGGTAAACTTTAAGAGAAAGTAGCTGTGCCTTGGATTTTTTTTATCTCATTCAAGCTTTTCTTTGTCCAAGAAAGGTTGGGAACCACCGATATAGACCATAATATAATAGTTTTATCAGCCCTAAGCAGTGTGTATTTAAGTGCTAAGCCGCTACCCCCTCTGACTTCACACTGTTTGCTGGGGAGCCCAGTGAGAAGCAGCACTGATCTGGGGAAAAATCACTTTGCTAGTCCTCCTTTAGGGCCGAACATCATATAATAATACTGCTATGTCGTATGTGGGACCAGCAAAATAATATATCAAAATACCATGTTAGGAGAACTGCAATTATTAACAAAATACAGGGGTATTAACCCAAAAGATGATTTGGAAAGTAAACTATTGGGGACACAGATATTAAACAATATTTAATAAGAACAGAAGCTAGCAAAACACACACATGTTCTCTGTTTTCTTTTGCATATACCCCAACTTAAACCCCCTAATTGTAAAATATGAAATATAAAGCACCTGCCATTTAAACACATTAAAATGAAGTACATAACTTTGGTCACAAGAGGGCACTCTTGTGACCAAAGTTAGGTCTCTGTTATAGATTGGATATCACTTTACATTGGAGATTGTGACAATTACTCATTAGTCTATACATTTTTCAATTTCGTAAGTGTAATATGTAATAAAACGTTCTACAGTAAAAGAAACATTCCATTTCCATTCAGAAATGTTAATAACATTTTACAGGTCGATATAAAAGCTGTATCTTATTTTGCCTTATCAGCCTGGAAGTCAGGGAGGCTTGGAGAGAGGTCAAGGTAGGTAGGCCTCTAAACATGCTGCAAAAGAGGCCTGCACTGCCTTATAAAATACAAAATGCAGTTTTTACTCTATTTTTGCTTCTTCTCCTTAAAACCTCTTGTTCCAGTAAATCACACTGTTTTTTTAAGTTATCTCTATGCCTCCTCCAGGCATTGCATAGCTCTGCAGAATATGTTGGCTTTTTTATTATAATGTTTTAAATAATAATAATAATAATTGTATTATTTATTTCAGCCTAGAAAAAAAAATACTTACATTCTTCAAGGATATAATACAGAGTAAAAAACAAGAATGTTTGAATAGCAGCATCACTCTACATACTGAATATGTTTGGCAGACCGAACATTAGGTGGAGCTGGTGTAGAATGATTTAAAGCCCTGCGTTCATTTGAATCCAGTAAGATTCTCTTCTACAGAAAGTGAACTCATTAAAGTGACAAGAACAATATAGGATTCCTATACTTAATATTCCTGCTCATGAAAAAGCCTTTGAAATCTGTAAAGGTTTCCATTTTCCCATTGAACATACCAGCATCTTTCCCTGGTGAGCTGTAGTTACTCATGTAAGTACACCTATCTATTTCCATTAAAAAAAAAAAAGTAAAATAGAAAAATCAAGTTAAACAGTGTTAGCCTCCTTTTAGAGATAAAAGACGACAATTAAATTAAATAAATAAAACAAAAATACAGTAGGTTTGTTCACTAAGCCAAAATAGCAAATATATAAATGAGTAAATAAGTTGGCGAATTTGTCCAATTAAGCTATTTCAGTCTAAAATGTGCAATCCCCACACTTTCATGTTTAGGTCATAACCTCGATGGTGTTTTGTAAAATATAAAAAAGAGCCATTTGTTTATTCTTGAGTTGTATATGCCATTATCTCTCAACTCACAATTTACTGGGATTTTTACGTTTGCACGTTTTATTTTAAACATGTGTCCTGTATCTACAGCGTTCTTGTTTTTAAGGTACTCAAGTTAAATTAAATATAGCTAAAGTGGCTCACATTTGGAGATCTCACAACATTCACCAAATATTCATTACTCTGTAGAATTTCCTGTGTTTTTTTGCCAATAGAAAAGACAAATGTGTTCCTGCAAAGGATAGCTTTTTAAAGTGAATTGATTCTTTGCTGGAGATCAATATCCTTTTTATTTACATTTCTCTGGGGGCCAAAAACAGAAGAATGTAAAAGTCAGCAGTGTAACCCGTGAAAGCGTTGAACTGTATATTGAGGGTGTCACTTTTTTTCAAAGAATACCGTATATACTCGAGTATAAGACGAGTTTTTCAGCACATTTTTTGTGCTGAAAACCCCCCACTCGTCTTATACTCGCATCACTGTCTGTATTATGTAAGTTATGTATAACTTACATTACCATAATACAGACAAGGACCGCCGGGCTCATTAGAAGCCCGGCGGTCCTGTTGGGGGCTGGCAGAGAGCTGTAACTTACCTTTCCTGCAGCTCCTGTCAGCTCCCTTCTCTCTCCTCCGGTCCGATCAGCTCCCTTGTCAGCTCCACTGCAAGTCTCGTGAGCGACGCGGGGTCAGAGCGTTGCCATGGGTTACCGTGGCAACACTCCGCGCTGCACTCAGACCGCAAGACTTACAGTGGAGCTGACAGGGGAGATGACCGGACCGGAGGAGAGAGAAGGGAGCTGACAGGAGCTACAGGAAAGGTAAGTTACAGCTCTCTGCCAGTCCCCCTCCTACACAGCCCATCCACTGGACCACCAGGGAATGAGAGCCCCCCTCCCTGGCCAGCTAACAAGCAGGGAAGGGGGACAAAAAAAATATAAATAAAGAAAAATGTAAATTATAATAAAATAAAAATAAAATATTAATAATATATATAAAAAAATAATATTAAAATAATAATAATTTAAAAAAATTAATAAAAATGCCCACCCCCACCAAGGCTCTGCATCACACACACAAACACACTCTGCATCACACACACACACTGCATTCATACACACACACTGCATTCATACACACACTGCACTCATACACACACACACTGCACTCATACACACACACACACCGCATTCATACACACAAACACACACTGCATTCATACAAACATACTGCATTATATACACAAACACACACTGCATTCATACACACACTGCATTCATACGCACACACTGCATTCACACACACACACACTGCACTCATACACACAAACTGCATTCACACACACACACACTGCACTCATACACACACACACCGCATTCATAGAAACACACTGCATTATATACACACACACACATTGCATTCATTATATACACACACTGTAAATAAATATTCAATTAATATAATTTTTGGGGGATATAATTTTATTTAGAAATTTACCAGTAGCTGCTGCATTTCCCACCCTAGTCTTATACTTGAGTCAATAAGCTTTCCCCAGTTTTGGGGGGTAAAATTAGGGGTCTCGACTAATATTCGGGTCGACTTAAACTCTAGTATATACGGTAACTCTTAGTACAAGAGCGCAAATATTGAATGCGTACAGTAAAAGACTGACACAGGTATTCAATGAACTCTAAAATGTGGATATTTGAACATTTAGGATCCAGCTGTTTTCGCCTACATTTTGAAGTTCACTTTGAATAAAAGGTCACACTTCGGAGCGTAAAACTGTTTGTGTGTGCTTTTTTTCCTCCTATGCTGCACCCTATAACTAATTCTATGATAAATATTTTTACTATATATTTTATAGTTATACTATGAAAGTCTAGTATAACTTTATGGTAATACTATCGATATACTATAATTATTTATACTATTAATTCAGTAATTGGACATGGACTAGTCTGGCTATCTGACTAGTTGTCTGAAAAAGGTGGGGACAGTCTGGACAATGACTGCAAGGTTCCGTGTATAAATTATATATTTCGTAAGTCTAATGAAGCTTTCAAGTCTGGGGTTTAACAGGAAATGCTGGGACTTGAAATGTGACTATTTTAGAATTTCTTTATTATTTCAGTTGATTGATTTTTCATAACTGTACAACTATTTATACAATGCATGAAATCATTCGAACACTCAAGTCTGGAGTGTCTCCAGTGGGCAAATAAGATACATTCTGCCATGTGTTCTACTGTTGAAAATACAAGTTTACCTCTATACCTGTAGGTACCTTTAGGCCCAGTGGGACATCTGAAACATGAGTTTTATAAGCAGGGAATCCAGAGATTCTGTCAAAGTTATTTACTGATTCTTGTCTGGATGCAGGTGGATAAATCAGGTGGTTCCTTATTAAACAGTACATTTGATAATTGGAGCACACCCAGTGATCCTCTGTCCGTATTCCCACCTCTGATGCTCGCCTTCCCTTCTCCGTTAGACTTTCACCCAGTCTCCATTCTTTCAAAAAATCATTGAAAATCATTGAAAACACACCTCTTCAGGAAAGCGTATTAATTAAACTGTTAGTAGCTTTTTCTCCCCACATCCTGATTCCTCTCCTGCAACTGTCATCCCCCCCCCCAAAAAAAAGAAAGCACTAAGCCCTCTGTGAATACTACTCTAGCAACCTAATTTTCTACCCCTACCATTTGTGTTAGTATACGCCCTCTAGCATGTAAGCTCATTGAGCAGGGCCCTCAACCCCTCTGTTCCCCTCTGTTCCTGTGCATCCATTTGTCTGGTTACAATTACATGTCTGTTAGTCCACTAATTGTAAAGCGCTGCGGAATTTGTTGGCACTTTATAAATAACAATAATAATAATAACCATTGAGCCACTAGTGATTAAACTTCCCTAGCCACATAAAGGTAAGAAAACTAGGGGTTAATAATAAACACAGCCAAACTCTCACAATCACACTCAGTAAACCACCCACAATCACACTCAAACATCTTCCACACAATCACACTCAGACAACCCCAATGCAAGTCCTTCATCGATTTCTGCACTTACACCCCTGATCCCAACTGTCCATTATTTGATACACACAACATGGTTGTACCATACAGAAATTCCTACGCCATCTTCCATTGGTTCCACATCCAAATTTGCAAACCGCAGAGTACGCTGCTCTCTCCTCTACAACAGCAGGGAATTACTGAGGAATCCTGAGTTTAACTTTGACTATAAATCCATGATGCATTATAATCATTTAATTAAAAGTGCTTATAAGTTAAGAAATCATGTTAAAGCAACAAAGTGTATTTAGATGCGATATTCCCTATGCCATCAATCAGGGCCGCCAGCAGAAATGTTGAGGCCCCTAACACAGCTCAAGGTCTGGGCCCCCGGGGGCCTGCCTCCAAGCCTGCCCACAGGGACCGCCTTCAAATCCCGCCCACAGAAATACACACACAGACACAAACGGACACAGCACACACAGAAAGATACACACATACTAACAGATACAAATACTGAAACAGACATACACACATACAGTCATACTGACACACACACACACACACATGCATAAAGAGATACAGATACACCCACACTGACATACATACATACTCACATACACACATATACATGCAGACATACATACTGACAGACACATACTGACAGACACATACTGGCATACATACAGACATACATACAGGCATACACATACATACATACAGGCATGCATACATACAGACATACATACACATTCATACAGGCATACATACAAATACATACTGGCATACATACATATACATACAGGCATAAATACATATACATACTGGCATACATACATACACATACAGAATTCATTTTTCAGCCTGGGGATGATGGGCGTCGGCTGCCTCTCCTCTTGGCCTTCAGGCTGCATCCTCCTTCCCGCGTGGAGTATGCTGGGAGGAAGTGACCGGCCGTCACTTCCTCCCAGCAACACTTGCGTTGCGGCTGCATTTTTTTTTTTTTTAAAAAGGTCCGGTCACGGTATTACAGCGTTGACCGGGCCCCTGAAGATAATAGGGCCCTAAATGCTTGGGCCACCTGATAGGCCTCATCAGCGTGTGGGCCTCGGTGCAGATGCGCTGGCGGCAGTTCCTCCGCTCCACGTGGGGCCCGGGCGTTGTCACCCCCTGATGGCGGCCCTGCCATCAATTATGGTGCTTATTTTTCAATGAATGTCAGCAATTTAACTAAAGTTGCAATGTCATTTCTTCAAATGGTCCTAAAAAGAGAAATGCATAAGAAATCTTTTCATACTTGTGAGAAATATGAATACATAAGGCACTAACATCTCTTCTGATATCAAACATTGGTACTGAATTAATGAAGTGCATCCAGTTATGGGAATCTGAACAGTTTCCTACAATGGCATTCTCCTGCAAGTCCAGACAAGCCCGAGGCATTAAGACATTCTGTGACACAATACACTCACTGGATTCTATGAAGAAACAATGTGGCCGGTACAATACTTCCTGCTAGACCTAATAATGCAATAACCAGGATAGACACTAGAAATAAAATGTGTTACTCTTTATTTTAAGCCATTGCTACAACATTATTAAAACTGTCACCCAGCCTAGAGACAGTCAATAGGTTTATTTGTTTTCTTTCGATATAAAAAATAGG